GAGAGAGAGAGAGAGAGAGAGAGAGAGAGAGAGAGACAAAGAGAGGGAGAGAGCCGATCGCACGTTCGAGAGTGTTTGCACAGTAATTTCCGAAAGGGTCTTTCCACGACGGGTCGGGTAATATATCTTATGAAGAAACTCGTAGTCTCTCTAACCGATGATGGGCGCATAAGCGCTGCGCTCCCAGCGCTGGTATCGCGCGTATCCGCGCGCGAACGAGCGTATTCGAGCGACGAGCAGCGTTCTCGTCGGCTCGACGAAATCGAGCTCTCGGCGTGTGGACGAGCACGGTCGTCGCAAGTGGAGTGTACCGATATATTCCGGACGAAGTTAACGCGAGTAGGCGTCCTCCGCTGATCATCCTCGTGGAAACGTGCACCTCGCTTGATTTATATGCTTGATTTAGAGTGCTAATTAACGTGCCGACGGCAACGACGTACAACATGCGCCGACGAGACCGAGCGGTTCGTGTGCGCGCCGCTGATCGGTTCGTTTGATGCTGTACAGCGTTGAACAAAAGTTTCGACAGCTAATTTGTTTAATCGCGGTGCGCCTAATGCGAAATTCGCAAACAGATATCTGCCCAGTGCTGTTTGATATACGATTCCTTTATAACTAAAAAAGTAAGACAAACCCGCATAGAAATTCTTCAAGATTTTCCCAAATGCAGCACGAATTCTACTTGGAATATTAAAATTTGTCCTAAAATTGGTTATCCCACTACGACACTAATTCGGAATCCCGTTTTTGCCTTAAACCTGAGTTTTATATCTAGAATTCAAACAGAAACATTATGGGAATCCGTGTTTTTTTCAGTCAATAATTCAGTAAGTACACTTTTATGATCAAACAAAGGAGAATCCCATTTTTATATTAACTATTATATTTGATAGAATAAAATATCAAAAAATAAAATATTTTTTAAACACTAAGCATTTTACTGAATAGTGAAATTCTTTGGAAAGTATCTTCTTCAATGAAAACCAGAGAAATATTAGAAAATAAAAAGATTTTAGGAAAATATTGCAAAGTTACATTTCTATCTGAGAATCAACCTGTAATGATTTTGGGAAGTCGGGCTGTGTGTGGGTCCTAGTTAGATTCCAAAACATTTTCTATGCGGGAAGCATTACACGAGTTTCTACGAGAAAAGTTCAAATTGAAAGAAAAAATATTACGTATGTTTTGTAGTTTCTAGTTTAGCAGATATATTTCTCTCAGCAAATTTCACGAGATGTACGCATTCTTCAAGGGAGAGTGTCACATTGCGGTGTTGTTCCTATTCTATAGCTCGTCGTGTTTGGTAATCTTACCTACTCTGGTTTGCTCCGGTGAACGAGGAGGAAACAGCTTGCTTGCCTCACTTTTGCGAAGATTTGCTTTTTCTTACTGGCGCTGTGGAAAATGACCGCGCTTCCTCTTCTCTTCCCTACTCTTCTTTCCTCTTCTCTTCCTCGTCTTTTTCTTGCCGCTTCCTCGATGCTCTGCCGGCATCGTGGGAATGGAGGACCAGTTAGTCTCACTTTCGCGCATTA